CAATTGTCATATCATTACTAAATCTGATGATTATTTCCACTGTTTTTGGCCTAAATGTCAATACAAAACAATTAAGAAAAATAATTTAACAAAACATCAATTAATTCATTTAGAAATAAAACAATTTAAATGTAATTTTAATAATTGTAATAAATATTTCAAATCAAGATCAAAGTTAACACAACATAAAAATATTCATTTAAATGTGAGATTTATTTGTGATTTCAATGAATGCCACAAAAGTTTTACAACAAAACAAAAGTTAATTCAACACAAAAGTTGTGTTCATTTGAATGAAAGTAAATTTAAATGTAATGAACAAAATTGTAGCCAAAGTTTCAAATTCAGTTCACATCTAAATCAACACAAACGCATACATTCGGGAGAAAAACCATTTGTCTGTATTTTCAATGTTTGTAATCAATGTTTTACACAACAATCTAATCTCGACGAACACATGAAAACTCATAATAAAAGAATTCACAGAAATATTTGGGCAAATAAATGCCTGCGAATTGTTTCACGTACACCATATCGTCTAAAATTAGTTAAGCGTCATTAAATAAACATTTAAAATTGAACCATGTAGTTTTTTAATATTTAAAAATCAATATATACTTAAACCTTGGTTATTGATAATAACCTATTATGATAAACTTTTAAATTACTTACAAATGTACGTGCAGTATATTTGTTTATAAATTCTTTTTATTAATGTATTAATTATTTGCTAAAAATAAAATTATATAAAATGTTTTATTATTAGTTTTTTAATTGAATGATGTTTTCCATGCAATCATGCAGTGGTTGGCCAACAGTTGCACACGTATTGCAGTATTATTAATGTTAAAATAAAAATAATTTTATGATCTAGATAAAGTTATTTTAATAATTTGTTTTATTCTATTAATTTAAGTTTGTTTTATTTTATACTTTAATTTGCTGAACATGTTTACTATTATCTAAAGTCGACTGCATATTCTGTATTGACTATAAATAACGTCATATATTGTTGACTCAAAACGTAATGCATTTGCTATACGTTTGCGTTGAAAGGGGTCTCAAAACACAGTATTAATAATGAGCCGTAATTTATGCGACAAAACAAAATATTGAGCGCAAATTGTTTAGTAAACAAAACACAATATTTTCAATGTATTTATCAATCATTTATTGATCGCTGGGTTTGTGAATGAATTAATTGATGTTAAGTTAAATGACGATTAGTTGTAAATACTTTGAGACAACCCTTTATTTGACAAATGAAACTATTATTTAAATTAAATGATTTTTTTGTGTTCAATTAATTGTGATTTTCATTTAAAACTTTTATTACAATACAATTCAATTTATTTTGGGGTATAATTGCTTTCCAAAATATATTCATCGGGTTATATTCATTATAAGAATTATCTAGGTCATTTGAACAACAGGGTTTGTGTCCATATACCAAGGGCGTTTATAGCAACTAGCTCGAGTAAATATTTAGTTAACAGTTTTATTACTATCATTAGAGTCTTTAATTTTTGAAATATTCATAAATTTTATTAATTTAAACTAGTTAATTGGTTCAGACTGGTTGACAGAGGTTTAACAAAAAATAGAGTTCAATTAAACAAAAATAAAATTTACTCAACTTATTAATATGGCCTAAACTTACAATTATGATCAAGGGCATTTGGACACACAATACAAATAGTTTTGTAAAGAGTTTTCGAAAATACAATTGAGATTAACAATAGATGTGTAGTAAAAGTATTGTCACATTTTTGCACTCATTTGTGTCCCTCAGAGCCAAACACCTGGACATTGAGGGCATTGAGAGCACAACTATTACTACAAATAATACTGCATTTGAGACAACATTTCCAGAGTTGCAGTCAAACCAAACACATCTTATAAGTAAAATTATCGAAAAGTATTTCGGTTTGAAGTAGTTTTTAAGTTTATTTTGTGTTTTATTAAAGGATTTCAATAAATCTGTTTAAAAATGAGTAAATCGTTGATTGAAATGAAGAGTAAATTAAATGCAATGAAGAGTTTGTGTGAAATAATAGACAAAATTCCGTGTATTTTGAATACAAATAATAGTGTTTTGTGTGAAGCGATTGAATGCGAAAATAATGATTATTTTTCAATCAATCAAACAATTGATTGCAATTCATGTAAAATCAGTGATAAAATGCTAAACAATTGTCATATCATTACTAAATCTGATGATTATTTCCACTGTTTTTGGCCTAAATGTCAGTTCAAGACATTAAGAAAAGATGTACTCAAAGCTCATCAATTAATTCATTTGGAAATAACACAATTTAAATGTGATTTTAATAATTGTAACAAAAGTTTTAACCAAAAAAAATATTTAAATGAACACAAATCGAGAGTTCATTTCAATCGCGGAAAAGAAATGCACTGTTTTTGGCCTAAATGTCAATACAAGACAAAAGAGAAACATAAGTTAACTTTACATCAATTAATACATTCAGAAATAAAACCATTTAAATGTGATTTCAATAATTGTAATAAAACTTTTAACTGGAGATTAAGTCTAAATGAACATAAAAATATCGTACATTTTAATAATAATAAACAATTTGTTTGTAATTTCAATGAATGTAAAAAAGTTTTTAAACTTAAACGATATTTAACTTCACACAAACGTACTGTTCATTCAAACAATAAGAGATATTTACACTGTTTTTGGCCTAAATGTCAATTCAAGACACAAAAGAAAGATCATTTAACTACACATCAATTAATTCATTCAGAAATAAACCAATTTAAATGTGATTTTAATAATTGTAATAAATCTTATAAAACAAAAAATGAATTAAATAAACATCAGAAAGGCATTCATTTAAAAGTGAGATTTGTTTGTGATTTCAATGAATGCCAAAAATGTTTTACAACAAAATCACTTTTATTTCGACACAAAAGTTGTGTTCATTTGAATGAAAGGAAATTTAAATGTAATGAAGAAAATTGTGGCAAAAAATTTATTACAAATCAAAACTTAATTCGACACAAAATCATACATTCGGGAGAAAAACATTTTGTTTGCCATTTCAATGATTGTAACAAAAGCTTTAGTGAAAAATGTCATCTCAAAGAACACATGAAAAGACATTTGAATATAAAAAGCCATAAATGTATTCATAATAACTGTAATCAACGGTTTGTTACGAAAGGGGAATTACGACGACATTGTAATTACAAACATGTGGACAAAACGTATAAATAATTTTTACTAAAATTTTTATTTTAATAATTAATAAAAATTTTTATTTAATAGATAACTCGGAAGTAAACACTCTCTCTAATCTAGTGTTGTATTTTATAAACTAATATAAATTACTGGATGTTTTGGATTACTGAGATTTACCCACATTTACCACTTTACTAAAAAATAAATAATTAGTCGTTTGTGTATTTTGAAAGAGGAAGATATTTTATGAATAATGAGTTATCTTTAAAAAATTAATTTAAATAACTTATGTAATAACTTAAGACAATATATGAATAAAATACACATTCAATTAAAACAAATGCAGTTTTCTGTTGAGTGTTTGTGTCCACACAAGTAGTGATGACTTCGACGAGCGATTAGTTTTGTGTTTAACAGTAGTTGTAATGAATATAATGACAAAAGTCTTCAGATGTGATTACATTAAATGTTACAAAACTAAAATTTAAAGACGATCTAAACACTTCAATGAATGATAATACGAGCCGATCGTCAGCCCATACATCGCACCCGATGTATGGTTCGGGTTTTGGCCGACATTTTTCCTACAATTATACACAATTTGATCCACAAATGGCTATCACTAATCAAATCGGGTCTACATTTAGCTTCTGGGACGACACGTCTGGCCGTTTGGTCCATAACACCGTTGGTTTGACCGGCAATCATATACTTAAAGCCGATCCGCACTACAAGTTTCCTCCAGAAATGGTTTTTCTCCAGAATGCAAACGACTTTTGTGTAAAACGAGATTACGTTTTGAATGGAATTTTTGGCCACAATTTTCTTCATTACATTTG